AATATAATTTTCATTTGGGAATGAACTACGCATTCATTGAATTTATTTTTCTTTTTTTTTTTTATAGTTTAATTTTTTTTTTTTTTATTTTTTTTTTTTTTTCCTTTATCTGTATCTAGTATCCTGATCTTGTATCTTGTATATTTTTCTTGTACCCAAACTGTGTTTAGGATTCAGGATAATGAGTGCAGTACAGATCATAGACCCGTGGGGGTCTGGGGGTTCCCCCAGACTTGTGGGTGACGGTTGTCTTCGGTATCCATTTTTTGATCTGGTCCGGTTCCGGTGCGGTTGGCAAAGTCACCGGTTGATAGTATTCGGTCGAAAAGGGTCTCGGTCGTAACCGTACCACCGGATTCCGTACTCTGGGTATATTGTTATTTCCATCACTATTCTAACCTTCTTAATAAGGTGCGAGAGATGTTGAAAGCAATGTCGCTTCGTTAAATGAACAGAGTCAATATATTGGTATCTGCTTCACACTCCTCTAAGCTTGAATGAGTGTATGTATTCAATTAGTAGTTAAACTAAAATAAACTCATAGTGTATGACCAGTGAATGGGTATTTAATTTAATTCGTAAATGTGGAATTAATTATAGTTCAATTGGCAATTCTCTTCAATTAAGTATATATTTAATGTTAGATCATTACCAGATTGATGTCCATATAAGCATGCAGTGGAGAATAAAAGCCCGGGCTTTTGATTACAACTGTTCCCCTTAAAAATAGGTAAATGAAAAAAAATCATCAACTTTGAAAAGATAAACATGCTAACCGATCACCTCTCAACACAACAATGGAATCACTGTCAATCTATATACTCCGTCAGATCACCTCTCATCTCGATTATATCGATACACTCTGTTTTCTCTTGTCCAGCAAATCATTATACCATCAACAAACGAGAATTGCAGATTTGAATCATTGCTTCTTGACCCCTCATCTTTCCTTGGGACCAAGGAAAAAGATTCAAGTCGATAATCGTCATCTTCCTACTTCGACTTTACACTGTACATTTTGTGATAATGAATATGGGAATCGACCTCTTCTTCAAGTTGGTCTCATTCCATCATCAGTCACACACTTGAAGTTTGGCCCTAGATTCAACCAACCTCTTCAAGTTGGACATATTCCAACATCAGTGACACACCTGGAGATTGGAATCAACTTTAATCAACCCCTTCAACCAGGACACATTCCACAATCAGTCATCATTATGAAATTGGGTAAATATTTCAATCAACCTCTTCAAATTGGACACATCCCATCTTCAGTCGGAACTTTAATCTTAGGTGATAGATTCAACCGTGAACTTCTTCCTGGCCACATACCACTATCAGTAACAAGATTGACACTTTCCAGTTCTTTTAATCAACCTCTTCATGTCGGCTCAATACCTTCAAAAGTAATCGTTCTAGATCTTGGAGCATGTTTCAGACATGAACTTCTTCCTGGCCACATCCCCCATTCTGTTACTAGTTTGATACTTCCTGTGTTTTATAACCAACTCCTTCAACCAGGACTCATTCCACCATCAGTGACGCGATTGACATTTGGTCGAGTGTTCAATCAACCTCTCCAACCAGGACATATTCCACCATCAGTGACGCGATTGACCTTTGGTGATAATTTCAATCAACCTCTACAACCAGGACACATTCCATTTTCGGTGACAGACTTGACACTTCTCTGCCCTTATTTCTCTTCAGATAATTTTATCAATATGATACATCATAAGAACATCAAAGTTCTCTCCATTCCTCAAATACAATGTTCGTCAAGAGAATCTTTTTTGGATCAAAACACATTATCCATAACAACAATGGTCTCACTGGAGCATTTGATCATTGGCATTGAATTCAACACCTCAGACATATATGAAAGTATGCCCGACAATTTTCTGCTTCTGCTGCAGTCAATCCCAACAGTGACCTTGAAATATGATGACTTTTCTCTTACTTGGAGACTTATTGGAAACACTGTAGCTCTACTGGTATCAGACGCACAAGATAAAAGGAAAGGCACTTCAGCGATGTCTGCAGGACTGATGGTGTTAGGTGACCCCCAACACACTCACAACTAGGTGGTGGGGGTAGGGCGCATCGATTTTTGGTCGACAAAGTTTTTCCTCTTAAGGTAATAAATGCGAAGACAGTTCATGTTGTTGCTGGCCCCCACCATAGTACCCATTCTCCATTGTGAAGAACAAGTACAAGAAAGGTGTTTATTCGATAATATTATCATAACTATCATACTTACATACATATACATATACATATACATACATATAATACATACATACATTTACATACATTTAGACTTATAATATCTATAAAGTTAATACTATGTTATATCCTAAAGATGCCAACTCCAAGACATGGAACATCATTTTAAACTTGATAGCAAACGTGGAATGATGAAGGAGTTAAAGAAGTGGCACAGTGTAACAATCAACAGCAGCAGTAGTAGTAGCAGTGACAATGGTGGCAGCACCATCACACACTCGCTTGGTAATGATCGCAGCGGTGGATCGAGCCAACCAATCAGTCATTCAGTGCCCAGCAACAGCAGTGGATACACTAATCGATCCGCGAGCCAACCTGTTAGTCGTGTTGTATATCTTCCATCGAGCAAACCTACCAGCCAACCAACGTGTCGAGTGGTGTACCCTACCAACAGTAGTAGTAGTAATAGTAGTAGTACAACCAGACCAATTGTATTAGGGCACAACGGCTCATCCGCCATTAATKCCCTACTGGAGGCTGCAGTCATTGATTTGTCTGAGGGCACTGATGATATGCTATTGGAAGAGTTTGAGAAACCAGCTGTCGACTTGTTGAGGGCACCGATGCAAGAGCGATTTGGAGTTAGTGATTGCTCAATCAACAACAACAACAACAACAACAACAACAACAACAACAACAACAACAACAACAACAACAACAACAACAACAACAACAACAACAACAACAAACAACAACAGTAGCAGCAGTATCCGTGATCCTGTCGAGTGTACTCACATAGGCTGTGGAACCATTTTGAGCAAGCACAACTTACCTGCTCATCTACGGAAGGGACATCATCAATTTAACAATCTCTGTGAAGGTTGTCGCAGGATCAAAGAATTGGATGAGAGGCTGGCCGAGAGAAAAAGACTGTGTCTGGAGGCGGCTAGTGTAAACGAGGAAGGTAATATATATATATCAGCAAGAGACTGGACTGCAACAGGTGTTGATCAAAGAATATATATACTTACATGGACCTATTCAAACAACAGACAAGATAAGTCCTGAACTGGCTCTCCTGAACATGTTGAGGAGTAAGGAGAACAGAGAGGAATACAAACAGAGGGCAAAGGAGTCAAGAGGGAGAATGCCACTGCTCACACCTGTAGAGAAGGTGAAGAAGAGTAAGGATCAGTAWAKGTTGGTGAGGATATTAACTCGTTGCTAACATTGATGACCGGCACTTACTACAACAACATACAGATATGATAGTGGARCTGGAGCCTTACATGAGCTGGAGTGATGGGTCTTGCAAGGTCTCTTT